TGCCCAGGCTATGCCCAGGTACCTGTGCAGGTGAGGATGGTACAGGTGGCACACACGGTCCCCAGCGCCCCCGCGTGGCCGCGTGGCGCACGCACAGTCCCGACCTCTCCCATTCCCACTACAACCGGTGATGGTAAACCAAAGAGTAGTGTTACAATCCACTAAAATAATGATTAAAATCTGAATTTGCTTCCAAACCATCCTCAAGCTTCTAACTTTATACAGAAGGAAGCAAGCTAAGCATTCTTAGTATGAAGTAAAATGAAAGTTCTGAAAACAAGTTATAGTAATACCTCTTGGTACCACTTTGCTTTGTCAAAGGCCTCTGGGTAATGGCAGACTTACAGCAACTCTTCCTTCCTGGCAGTGTCAGGTGTGTTCTACCTTGCTGCTGCTCTGTCTAGTGCTGCTGAACACTGTGGAGGAAAGAAGAGGAGGCTCAGGGGAGACCTTCTCACCCTCTGCAACTCCCTGACAGGAGGTTGGAGTCAGGTGGGGGTTGGTCTCTTCTCCCAGGCAACCAGCAGCAGGACAAGAGGGCACAGACTCAAGCTCTGCCAGGGGAGGGTTAGGTTGGATATTAGGAAGAGATTTTTTATGGAGAGAGTGATCAGGCATTGGAATGTGCTGCCCAGGGAGGTGGTGGATTCACCATCCCTGGAGGTTTTCAAGCTGAGACTGGATGTGGCACTCAGTGCCATGGTCTGGGGTCCACAGGAGGGTTGGACTGGATGATCTTGGAAGTATTTTCCAACCTGATTGATTCCATGATTCTATGATTCTGTGAAATCCCATGCCCGTGGGACTACATAGTGAAATGCAAATCTTAAGCCAGAAGAGTACTTTACCCCCCAGATGAAGGAGTGGACAGAGGCTCCCAAGGTTTTTGCTTTGATCAGGAATGAAACACAACCATCTAAAAAATATTTTAGAAAATTTATTGAAAACTTGACATACAAACGGTGATTTGGTCCCAAAAGAAAACAGACCAGAATCAGATCGTCCATATTTCCAAAGCAGTTTTTTCCTAACACTGCATCACACTTGCCATCCTGCTTGTGAACAGCATGAAGAAAAGTCTTTTCAGCAAGCCAACAAGAACTGAAACTCACAAAGACAGAAGCCTGAGAATGCCCAGAGCTTGATCTCCCATGTCCTCTCCAAGCACTTGCTACGGATCTTGCTCTGTCCTCCTGACGCTCAGTTCCCGTTCCACCCCACTCTCCTCTCCCACCGACTGAACCAACTCAACCCATTGCCTCCTATCACAAGGGCAGCAATGAATTGTGAAAAAATGAAAGCAAATGTTTTCTACCAAAGCAAAACCCTTGAACAGTTTTTCCCCATCTCGTGGTCTTTGTCAGCAGATCTCAGAGGGCAGAACAAGAGTCAGTGATGCTGTGTTGGCGTCGAACAATTAGGAGGAGATACACCTCTGAAAGTCAACCTTTGGTACAAACCTAACAGGAGAAAAGAATGCTTAAAAGCCACCTGCAAAAGTTTCTTCTGCAAATCTGATAGGCAATTAATGGGTTTTAAGAGGAAAACAACAACTAGGTTTGATATATTTAGGCCTCCAACAGTTTTCTGCATCTTCTGTTGCAATTTTAGTCTTGCTGACATGGTTTCATCAAATTTTTGAAATCTTTATCCTTTCTTTTCAGTTTCTTTAGGATTCAGAGCAATTAGCTAAAACACTTCCAACTTTGAACTTTCACTAGAATCCTGCAAGCTGAAAACCAGTTAAAAAATTGGAGGCACCACATTTGCCACCTGCAGCACCTATAGCCTTCTCCAAACTGCACTGCTCTACTTTACACTCCAGCAATGGAGCATGTCAGAGGCTGCAGATTTTAAGCATGTCCAGCAGCTTAATAACACGTGAGAAATTTGACACAGTTCATGCAAGAGATTTATAGCAGACCCTGAAATGAAATTAGACATCACAGCAAGACAGGCTGCATAGGTTCTCCACTTCATCAACCTTCCAGAATGGTATGGGTGTATATAGGTTTCCACAGCAATACCTATTCAAATGCTGGAATGTTTTTAGGGAAGCTCTGAAATGTTTTAGCAAGAGACAGCAAATCTCAAAAAACCTTCAACAAGAGCTGCAAGATAAACAGGACTGAACAAACAGAGGCATCTTTTGACCAACCAAAAGGAGATAAAGGATGACTGCAAAGAGAGAAACTTCACTTTAAACTATCAGCTATGGGTTACTCAACAGTAAAGAATATGATCACAAAGTTTATCAATTAGCTGTGCAAAGGAAGAGTAGATTTTCTTACACAAGCAGCTGCATTGCTGTGTACTTGCTAGATGCCAAAACCAGGCTGGGATGTAGGACTCTGAGCAGAGCCTATCACTTGGAAAGGAATTCCTTAGGAAAAGCCTCAATTCAGCTCTCTCTGAGAAAGCTCAAGGGCTCAGGAACAGAAGATGAGATTCTCTGCCTTGTTTAAGGGTTCTAAGCATAGAAAAGCTACAAGCAATAGCTCACTGAGGATTCTTGTTCTTGGCACCCTAAGCAGGGTACAAAATTCTTTTGGCATACACCTGTATCAACAATGTGATGTTAATGGCACATGTTCTGGCTTAACTTTTAAGACTCTTCTCTCAGGAAGAAGACAAGCATCTCCTTGACTTCACCACCAATGCCAGCAGTCTCAAGAGCTGGGACTCAGTTACAGACAACAATCAGCATTTGACCCTCTATGCCAGAAAGCAGCTCCTGTTATCTGATTTACTTACCATGTTAACCCAAATTAAAGGATTCCATTTATTCCCCCTCCAGTTACACTGTCTTCAACTGACTTTGCAACTCAATGAAATAAAGAATCTCAGCACCATGGAAAACAGGAATCTCTTGGCTGAGAACCACTTTTCTCTGCTGTGCAGGGAGGGGAGCATCAAACCCCACAAACACAGCTCAGAAGCCACTGAACCACAGGGAACTCACATTAGCAGATATCCTGCAAGTCAGGAGCTGGCTTTGCTTCTGCTCCACTGTAACACTCCTTCCCCATCACCTGCAGAATGTTCCATGTCTACATTTGAGTTCACACCCAGTCCAAACCAGCTGCCCATGGGATGGTGTGAAGAGCTGTATTACCACAGCAATTGCTTTTCTATCTGTGACTGGGTTTGAAAGCATTTCTTCCTTTCCATACCCTTCTGCAACTCCTATTAAACCAACCAGCCAAGCATAGTATGTGCACCAGTCTTGATGGCTCAGTAAGTGAAAGATGTGGCTTAAGCCATAGTTACATTCAGTATTTGGATTTTATACTTTACCAAGGGCAGTTAAGGAGATATTTCACCATTAAGCAAGATGGAAAGCTACTTCTTTGTTCCAAAGGCCTCTGGATTACCTTTTCAGTAAAAATAAGAATACTTAGCAGACTGGCATACAGAAATCTTGGGGTGTTTTCTGGCCAAACCATGTTCTTATGGTTGTCGGTAAGAAAACAAAAAACCAAATAATGCAACTTCAGATTCACACATCAAACCATAAAGAAAGAGAGACTCAAAAATACCAATAAAAAGCATCAGAAGCTCACCACTTCCAGTCTAAAATCTGGCACCTACAACTCCATTTCTTCTTCTGCACAAGCAGATATTCCCAGACTACAATAGGGATCTGGAGACATGGCAGTCTGTTGTAACGCAGGGAATGTTTCAGTCTGTGGATCAAAAGGAACTCCTGGTGTTGGCTGCTTAGCTTGACACCCTTCTGTACTTTGCTGCTTGAAGTTCTTAACAGGAGCAGACTTCAGTTTATCTGTCAGGAATTCAGGCAGAGGTTTCCAAAGCACCAGCTCCATCGAAGGACGGCTCCTAAAAGGGATGGAGATTCAGTTAAACTTGAGCTCTCCAATCACAGATATAAAATGCAGAAGATCAGTGAGCATCTTCAACCTCTGAGCTAGCCTGACACTCTATCCCAGAAGCCATATACCTTTTTTTTCTTTCCCCTATTAAATTTCCTCTTCCTTAACTAGTTCTGTTAGTTCTAGTTCTAATCCTGTATTTTCTCTTTTCTTTTGCCCCAAACTTGATGACCACTGTTGGTCAAACTTTAGGATCTTCTCATTGTGAAGGCTCACATACATAAAGCCCAAGCTTAGAGTGGTTTACTCAACACATTTCACTCTGCAGAAATGAGGAGTACAAAACAGACACTCGATGACCACTACAGTTACACTTAGTCCTCTTTACATTAGGACAGTTTTTCCTGGTTTGGACCAGATGAATGGTCTGTTATACAACATTGGCTGCATCATGCAGTGATCAAGGACATCTCCACAAACATGAGATGGGGTCTCTCTTTTCATTTGCATGTGTTAGCTACATAGCACCATGATTTCCTCCAGAACTTACATAGATTCTATTATTTTCTTTGTCAGGACTTCACCAAAATCCCTCTTCATCCCTTTTTTAAGGGTATCTGACAGGATAAGAGTGGGCAGATTGCTAACATTTCCATCAGCATGAACTTCCTCATCTTCATCAATTATCCTAGGAACGGAGGGGGAAGAGGGAGATAAACACTATTGAGCATACTGTTATCAGGCACATCCACTGCAGACTAGAGTCACATCTACGTGCACTGCACTGTGCAGATCTCTGACCTGGGCTGGGTACCAGAAGCAGCAGGGCCATGGTAACTGAGTCTCTTGGGCCAACACAGCCTGAGAACGACTGTGAGCACAGACACCACTCCTGCAGCTGTGCCACTTCTGGTACCTGAGCTGGTTTGTTATCCCTGTGTCACCCAGCAGTGCCAGTGCAGACATGCACTGAGAGAGAAATGAGCAGATTCCCTCCAGGGGACACTGTACAATTCAGCCACATGACACGAGTGAGGCTCAGCTGCTCAATTCCCCATATCTGAACTTTGAGGGTTATTGAAAAGGTACTGAATGCAGTTCTTAACTTTCTGTGATGTTGCACCAATTTCTGAGATTGAATCAGTACAAAAATGTTGAAACATTTAGAACAAATAGAGGTTTTGGCAAACCTTTTATAGAAAATTTAGCAGAGTAGCTGGGAAGGATGAGGAACAATCCTCTGGGAGGTCCAAAGCAGACACAGAGAGACCATAAAGATGTATCACTACCCTGATTTAACCATGAAAAAATAACAGTCCAACAGTACCTGGCTTCCCCTCACACATCAGCTAAGGAGTAATCATCTCAAAACACATCTTAGTTTAAAACTTCTGCAACTTTTGGCTATTCTAACATCGTCTGCAGTGGTCATTTCAGGTACTTTGGAATACTAGCTCAACTGCCACCACCTGATCCATGCACATGCCATTCCCAGATGGGACTGCAGTAACTGCAATGGGCTGTCCACAGCCACCCCAGTACAGCCACCCCAGTACCCCAGTTCACACCATCAGCCCGAGGAGCCTCAGCCTCACTGCATGTGTGCAAAGACACCTCTCTGGCTCATGCCACTCTCTACACTGGCAAATTCACACCTGTCTGGAGCATTTACAAGTATTAAACACAAGCTGCAGTCGGCTGAAAGTCTGACCAAATAAGCAGTTAAAATTTGAGCTCAGAATTCATTAAACCCTGTTATGGTATAGTGATGCTGCACAGTGATCAGCATCTCTTGCTCTAGCACCCTCAATTTCACAGTACCAGCCCAAAGACTCACAGCACCATAAGCAGACTAAAAGGAAATCAGCTGAACAGAAGGTTCACCTCAGACTTCCAGCAGTGTTCTCACACTGGTAAGAGCTAAATTTACCCTTGAATGCCCACCAAAAAAAAAAAAAAAAAGGAAAGCTCAGCAAAGCCAATCTGCTCAATCCCTGCATTTACCTGTCCTCAATTTCCTGAAGTTTCCTGCGAGCAACCTCGCACTGCTGTTCCCCCATTGTCTGATCCATTTCTTCACAGGGAATTTCTAACATGGCAGGTCCAGGACTGCTGCCACCACACTGACTTGCTACCTCCCCAGCTGCCTGCTGACCTGCACAGAGAATTCCTTCTTCAGTGCTGGGATTCAAAGGGCAATTGGTGGCTCCTGTCAGTCTCTTCTTCCGCACAGGACAGCTAGGAAACAAAGGAGGTTTACAGCTGTCAAAACAGAAACGTGGCATTCTACAGGAAAAAAGTGTCACAGCAAGTCACCTGCATTTCAACAGGTCTGACACACTGTGACAACACAACCTCCACAGAGAAAGTAGATCCATACTGCTCTGAGTAAAATGTGAGTACCCATGTGAGAAAATCAGTGCTACACAATTTATGAGGGAACTGAAATGGAGTTAGGCTCATGTGCAATTCAGGGGAAGAGTTCCAAACAGAACCAGTGACACAAGTTCCCTTCCTCTGTGTGCTGTTGTCGAGATGTGCTCAAATGTCTTAGAAAACAAACAGCAAATTAAGATTTTTCAGGCTATAAAAGACAAATTTAATTTACCCTTCTGCCTCTTCTTCTAGCTTATGCTTCTTTCCAGAGTGCACAGAGATACTGCAAAAGACAAACAAATAGTTATTTAGCTTCTATCTCCCAGTGACAGTGATGTTTTCAAACAGTAATTTCCTCCTTTTTAAAAGAGCAACGAGGCTGGTGAAGGGACTGGAGCACAAGTGCCATGAGGAGAGGCTGAGGGAGCTGGGGGTGTTCAGCCTGGAGAAGAGGAGGCTCAGGGGAGACCTTCTCACCCTCTGCAACTCCCTGACAGGAGGTTGGAGTCAGGTGGGGGTTGGTCTCTGCTCCCAGGCAACCAGCAGCAGGACAAGAGGGCACAGACTCAAGCTCTGCCAGGGGAGGGTTAGGTTGGATATTAGGAAGAGATTTTTTAGGGAGAGAGTTCTCAGGCATTGGAATGTGCTGCCCAGGGAGGTGGTGGATTCACCATCCCTGGAGGTTTTCAAGCTGAGACTGATGTGGCACTTAGTGCCATGGGCTAGTGACCACAGTAGGGTTGGACTTGATGATCTTGGAAGTATTTTCCAACCTGATTGATTCCATGATTCTATGAAAATTTCACTTGCAGCTGTGAGCAACAGTCGCAGTGTGTGAAGTGAGTGGCTGCTCTGGACAACAACTGACCACTTTGTTTCAAAGGAAGTTAAGGGCGACTGTAACTGCTCAGTACTCAGAGCAGAACACCAAGCCAATCTCTCCTACTTCGTGTCACTTTTCCCCACAAGGGGCCAGACCAACATTCGCTCTCATTCAAACCCTGTAAGAAACAACACATGCTACAACTTGACCCTCTCAATACACTGTATCACCGGACACGCTCAAACCAGGAACACCTAACAGAACAATTTCAGCCTTTTTTTTCGCTGAGAACGCACAAGTTTAAAAACACCCTGGGGGTTTAAAAGCAAGGTTGGCACACTGCATCACCCTCCTTGAAGAACTTTTCCCCCCACCCCCGGAGCAGCACAGTGCCCGCCCCGCACTCACTGCCT